GGTCATAGAGCAGGAACCCAGGAACGAAAGGTTCTGCGAGGAAACACTGTGTGAGGAGAGGGGAGAGAGGAGAAAGGAGGGACGAGATGTAAGTGGATGGTGGTTTTATGAGTCTCCCCGTCTGCATTCCATGGCGCAGCCAACAACCTCGCAAGTATACATTTGCGGCATGGGGGCAGAGAGACGATGGGGAAGGAGATAGAAAATGCAGCAAGGCGTACAAGGAACCAAGGGGCCAAAAACAAAGGTAAAAATTCAATAGGAATGCGCGTTTCTCTTTCTCTCTCTCTCTCTTCTTTTTTTTTTCTCTTATTTTCGATGGGATGAGAATTTGAATTTATTTTCGTCAAAAATTTTCCAGATAGAAGGGAAAGGACAATGACTCATGGACGATTCAAAATGGCAACGAATAAATGTTAATTTCTTTAACGTATATTTTTTTTTCTGGAAAATGCGTAGATTAATTTTTTAGAAAAAAGTAGGATTCTCCTTTTAAAATTTTTCTCATTTTTTGAAGAGAAAAAAAAAAAACTTCGAATGTTATTCTCCTTGCTGCGGCAATATTATTCAAAAGTTGTTAAACCGAACGTTTTTGCCAGAGAAACATTTCTCTTCGAAACATGTACTGCGAATAAATATACATACGTGTGTAATTTGAAGTATTCTAAAAAGGTTTCTAAGTCTGGAAAACGCAGAGCGTCTAAATCGAGCGTCGTTCGAAAAAGGCGAAACAGAGCGAAGGCGGGATTGAACGGAGGGAGATCGAAAGGGGAAGGATCTTTGAGAGAGAATGTCGGTGCAGTAGAAGCATCCTGTGGAAGGAAACAAGAAGCAAATAAATAAATAGGGCTACGTCCATGGCAACGAACAAAGAGGTTAGGCTCCGCCAAACCAGAGAGGTGGACGAGGTGAACGAGGAGAAAGAGACGAAGAAAAAGAAGGAGCTTCTTGGAAAGGTTCCAAAGATTAGAACCTGTTCTTACTTGTGGGAAACGAACATCCCACAGTTAGCACAGAGACGTCTTCAAGAGACATCTGTTAACGCCCTTCCTTTTTACCTACGTTTCAACTGCAATTTATTGAAAAATTAAAAATAAAATGTATCACGGATTAAATGATATGTTCAGAGACAGGTTAGAAAAAGAACAGTATACTTTTGTGTATCATTTCAATTACATTTATTGAAAAATTAAAAATAAAATATATTTTCACGTATTAAATAATATCTTCAGAAACAGGTTAGAAAAAGTACACACGAGTGCACCATTTCAACTACAATTTATTGAAAAATTAAAAATAAAATTGTCACGGATTGAATGATATGTTCAGAAACAGGTTAGAATTGAAAAGTACACCTTCGTGTATTATTTCAACTACAATTTATTGAAAAATTAAAAATAAAATTGTCACGGATTGAATGATATGTTCAGAAACAGGTTAGAATTGAAAAGTGCACACGAGTACATTCTCGGTCAAAAATCTCGAGGCGATTAATTATATTTACGTGTAAATTGGTCGGTTATTAAAGAAATTACATTAATTTTAACACATCTGCTATCTAGAATGTGACCACACGTTTCGTGAAATTAATCTCCAGAACGTTCGTCGAGTGTGAATTTAATTTAACAAAAATGATTTTTGCGATAAATATGCAAATAACAATTACAATGCAATGAATCGTGTCGAGTGATCGATGGTAACGTGTCGATGAATGTGTTCTTTATGCAAATTTTTGCCGATCACAAAGTAGCAAAATGAATAATACGATGGCAAAAATTTGCCGTATCGTTGGAGGGAAACGAAGAGAAAGTTGCTTAATTGATAAAAGGGGAAGTATGGGTTTTAATATCGTAAAAAGATAAATAATTGCCTTGTTAGAATTGGAGGAGATCGGAAGTTGGAAAGAATTAAAATTTTAATGAAAAACAATCTAGAATCCCGGATACGATCATTTTTAATCTTTCTCACTTTTTCCTTATGAATTTCATGCTCGTTGATTTTTCATATTTTTCTTGAAAACGCGTATGCGGATACCAAGATATTCTTTTTTATTAATTAATACAAAATAAGAGAATTACATCAATGATACAATCAATGATACGATTTGATGTTTGGCTAGTATTTTTTTTCTTTTTTTAAATTATACGAAAAAAAAAATTTTACGAAGAATTTTTTATCTTTTTCGTATTATTTATTATTTCAAAGATCGCGAGAAGGAATTACGATTCCCGGAGTTAATATGAGTAAACACAATAGAAGATACTGTTGAATGTACTTTGCATTTCCGTGGAAACCAGACAATTGATGTTTCTCTGAAAATTTCGTGGTATCTTTATACGCACGATTTAACGACCACACATACGAAGAAATACGTTACAACGTTTTTTTAAGACGTATTTTTCGAATGAAAAATGTATTTGGCGCGAGAACAAAGTCCTAAAATTTTCAACGAAATAACATTAAATCGTCGTGTGTTAAATACGCACGACGAATATGCTTCGTCAGAAATCTATACGATCAAACTTCTTTACCGATAAAGCGACGCATGCGTTCAAAAATTATTAAAACGGACAAACGAAAGTTTTAATGCGAAGCATTATATTACACGTTAATCTGTTGATCCAGAAAAATCTATAAAATAAAAGTACATATAGCTTTTGCTGAATTCTAGACCAATTTTACAAAATGAAATCGTCGATCGAAAATAGAAAGTCGTCAAGAAGCTGGAGAAAAAATATAGAGAGGTTATATTATATACTTCGTATAAAGAAACAAATAATGAATAATGGATAAGGAAAATAACGAGAGAACCTGCGTATGATGGACAGAAACTCGTTTCCACATTGTAGCAGGTACGTCGACCAAGTGCACGACCCTCGAAGGACGTTCACCAGCATCCAACCTCTCCCTCTCCTCGTTTCATTCGGCGGAGACAACGGCGAAGAAGGAGATTCCAATTCAAGGACACGGCCATTAATTTCGTAACTACTGCTTCGTGAGCTGCATCGCATCTTTACGGATCATTGAAATCTCGCGAAGGAGATTCGGTCGCAACAAGTGGAATGTGCTTTGAGCTCGTGCCAGCTCGTGCCAGAGATTGGATTAAAAAGGATTTTCAGGTTAGATTTTTAGGTTAGGTTATAACAGATATTGTATATCGGCATTTCTTCGATCGATTTACGCGATTTATTAAAAGTTGTGCATGGAGAGAGAAGTAGATGGTACAATAGTATTTATGCTGCTAAGAAAGATTAACGTTAAATTTAATGAAACAGGGGTCATCGGTGATCCATGATAATTAAAGATAATTAAAGATAATGAAAGTTTTCATCAAGGAGAAGTTCGTTTCACTGATCAAACAACGTGGGCGTGGATAAAAAGAGAATGCACATAATCGTTGTGTGTCTTTATAATGAAATATTATTATATAGCGTAACCTTTGCACATCTAGCTTCAATGAAAACTAATATTTAAAAATCAATATTTAAATATATTAATGTGTAATAAATACATATGTGTATATATATTGTAAAACTTTACATGTATAATGTATAATACATGATCTAAGACTTTTTTACATAATATTATATGCTACAAATTTCAGAAATAAAATTAACCGAGCGAAAAATGAACGTTTTTCAAAAAATTTTGAAGAGAAACAATCCTGCATTAAACGAGAGAGTAGATAATAAAAAGAGTAAATAATTGTACGTACGAGCGGTTAAGCAGTATTGGATTTGAAAGCAAGGAGTATAGAAAGAGTTGGCGAATGGTTAATCTCTACGAAACAACGAGAGAGAAGCGAGCCTCTGGAAAATTTATTCGATTATAATACACCTTATTATTTGTTTCGACATAGAATTACAATTTTTCTGACGTAAGATATAATTCTTCTTTGGTCTAAGGTATAATGCCTTATCATCGATCCACGACGAGAATAGAATACGGGAATAAAAAAAAAAAAAGTAATGGAATATTTTTCAGCGGACAATGGAACACGGTCGCATTGATTTATCAATGATGCCGGAACGTCATTCAATGGCGGTTTAAAAAAATTACGCGTCACTTTCTTCGCATTTCTTTCTTTCTTTCTTTCGCATTTTCAATAAAATTTTTCCATTCTTCTCGACACGAAAGCCTGTCAATCTTGACCATTGAAATTCGTTACTCGTAAATAATAACATTAAGTTAGGTTAGGTTAGATTTTACGTATTATTAACTTTTTCGAAATTTAGATGCAAAACGATTAACGACATAACACAATTATGCACGAAGTGTTACATGTATCGTTTCATTTCGATCAATCAAACTTTTGCGGATCGATTACGTACAATGTAATTATGCTTCCAGTTATCCTTGAACTTTTGTACCGTGATATTACGTTATTAACGTTCGATTCATGAACGACATTAAAATAAGATATTTATAGAAAATGCTACCTGACAGACACATTTTACTCGTATAAACCGGTAATTTTGTAAAATTGATAATAATTGAACTCAAGTTCGATAAATGTATCTTTCTTTGTACGACGTAATAACATATGGTATGTATTATTTTGAGGTTAAACTGTAATTTAATATATAACGAAAATATCACTAGTTAGAGAGTTCTATTAAAAAAAATTTAAAAAGACCCTTGTTCGATATGATTCACACGCAAGATTCTTTTTTTTAAAATAATTTTTATGGCTAAATGTACATAAATTGTAATACGTGATGTCAAAACAATTAATATGTATGTGTGTATATATATAGTATTGAAAAAAAAAACAAGCGAAAGATTAAATTTATTCCAAATATTTATTCGTATAGTGTAAAAAAGAATATTAAAATTTATTGATATCAATTGTTATTGTTAATTTTTCAGATAATTACTTCAAAAAAATATATACAAATTAATATTAATATTAATATTTAAAACTATATATGTAATATATTCACAGTTTTCCAAATTTCTTTATTTCCTTTTAAATTTAAAAAATTTGAAACTAAAGTTTACGTTATATAACATTAAAATCATAAAAGAAAAAAATCATCGTGCATATATTCACGATTTTATTTATTATTTAAATTATAATCAATATCAAGTATGATGTAATATTAATAAATAGTTAAAAATGTTAAACGATCGTCTTTATGGAGATAGTCGATAAAGGAAATGACGAATCGAAAAATTGGCGCGCATTTACATCTTTCGTAACGAGATTCGACTCGTGGAAGAAACGCAAAATAATCGCGCAATCGGCAAAGGTACTTGTTTGCCGTTCGCATTTGAACCGATGTTATATCATTTTCTTGCACGATGAACGTTGGCTAGATCGTCTGAGATCGAGCCAATAAGAACCTTGAAACGATTTTCCTGTCAAAACTCGATTAATTCGATTATTGGATTCAAGGTTGTTGGATTAACTATAATTAAGCGAGAACGCCAAGTACGAGCAAACATAGAGCAAACATAGAGCAAACATACAACACGATGCCATTACACTTTTTTCACGTTTACAAGAAAAAAAAATGTATCTATGTAAACACGAAGCAATAGGATCGATGTTTCTGTTTCTTATTCTTCTTCCTTCAACAATATAAAAAAAATTCTATTATCAGTGACACTCAAATTACATCAAATCGCAACTTTCTTTTATAATATATATATATAATTTTCTTTTAATATATATAAATGAATGAAAATTGAATCTTTTTTTCATATCTAAATAAAAATAATAACAACGATTAAAATGTTAAATTAATTTATTGATAGAATCTGATTATAACTCATTTTATATATTCATTTTAATAAATATGATTATAAAGTAGTATTTTATTATTCAGATTATTTAAATAAATACGATTACTGTCGAAAGACGTATTAAATATAATAAATAAAATATATTTTCGTTTTCAATCAAAGAACATCTCGTTAGAATATCATTCAAGTTTATTCCATTTTTTTGAAATTACAATCTATTATTATTATTCCAACATTTTCTTCTCAGTCAAATTTCAACAAATATTTCTGGAACAATGCTTCTCAACTCGGCAAGAATTTCTTTCGAGAATATACTATATTGTCATATATAAGTGAATATTGAGAATGATTGCTCGTGAAAAGTGAAAATTTTCATTCTCAAAGAGTAGTATCCATTAAAAAAAAAAAAAATTATTTTTCAAATGTATTCACTACAAAAAAAAAAAAAAAAAAGATATCGCCAATCGTTCAATGACAATGAAACTTTAAAAATTTTTCTTACCTTAGAAAATTTATGGGGGAAAGGAAGAGATCGCTATTTCCAACATTTCTATTCCAACATATGAAAAGAGAACCGCAACTCGAAAGAGAGATTAGGAAGCAATGTTCTAGAATTTCTACAAGCGTATACTATACTCCATCCTCGTTTTCCACGACGAAGTAACCGGCCATATATTATTAACCCCGAACGTCGATTTGACCTTGAGATTTTAATCCAATGAATTTCCCTTCGACCTCGCGTGTAGAAGAACGCGATTCGCGTCCTATGACATAACCGAAGACACGATGTGTAATGCACATATCTATACGTTATTACGCCGTTCTTTTTCTAATGTCATTATATCTGACAATACCGATAAACTTAATCACGATCTTTCGCCTTCCTCGAATACGAATTTATTTTACGTTCCGCATGCATCGCCTCCCCTCCAATTATCCGAGGATAATTCGATAATTATCACGAGGAAAGAAAAGAAGTTGGGTCGCGAGTGATGCGCGAGCCTCGTGCTAGCAAGTAAATATTTGATTATCAATTTTAACCATTTTCCAAGTATTTACAATTAGTCAAGATGAGACGATGTAATTAACTAATTTGCAAGCCTGCCGCACATATTTATATAATTTGCCGTTTTTTTTCCTTTTTTTTTTTTCTTTTTTTTTTTTCCCCTCAATTTCATTTAGCATTCTGTTAAATTTCCATGCGTATCGTCGAAATGTATGCACATACATTAGATAAAGCATGCGCCGCGATAGATTAATATTAGAACGATAAATTTTAATAATAATAAATTTTATTAATAAATTTTAATAAATTAAAGAATTTGTTCGCGATAGAAATGAACGTCAATCACGTTGAAAATGATATTTAAATTAATCGCTGGTATAAAAGTCAAATACAATTTATTATATTTTATTATTTATTTTGCTTTTAAAAATTTTATCAAATTATATTTAAACGTTTGTATTTCCTTAGGAGTTTAAGCATCGTTTAAGCATCAGATGATATCCGTGTCAACAATATTTGACCGTGACTCGTCCCTTTTCATTGTATTAGTGTTAAATTTCTAAACAAGTTTAACGGTATAATACAAAATTTTTCGAATATTAGATGTATATAAATAACGTGTTTGTCTCGTTTTGAGTCATTGCTTGCTTACCGTATCGACAATTAGTATCTTATTCCTCGATTTTTGCTCGTTAAAATTTTCTTTTTTCCGAGATGGGTCTAAATATTCATAATGATTATTTCCTATCTCGATTTCAAATAAAATTTTCTCGTTTAAAAATCGTAAGAAGTATGAAAACTAGAGTCAGGATTCGTGTTATTAATAATTAAACAATAAAATAGAATTAAGAAGAGAAATTTGCATGGTAAAAATAAGTGTTAAGCAATAGAAACGCGTGGAAGGAAGGAATTCAAGACAGAGGACGTGTTCATCAGCAGGAAGTAAGTACTAAAAATTACGTTATAATACATGGATAATTTCATTAATTGCGTCCTACGTTTAAAAATATTTCTAATAAGAAAATTCGTCTCCTTCTAATGGCAATAAAGACCAAATATTATTCAGAAATAATAAATTCAAGAAAATTTAAAAGAAACCATTCACGTATATTTTTATGCTATTCGATACAATGCTATACGATTATTATTAAAATTCCTTGTCTTGTTATTTTTACTATTCACTCAAAGGTTAACATCGACAAAATGATCATTCTGGCCAAAAAAAAAAAAAATTTAGCAATGACAAATAACAATTTTTTTTGCGTTTTTTTTGTTTCTTTTCATCTCTATTTTTATCTTAAATCACGTACAAAAAATTTCCACAAACGATATTCAGATTGGAAAAAATAAAATCTACAAAGTTTCTCCTTTCGTAATTTGTCAATTTATCAATATTATTAATCGATGTTGAAGAATCTTGGTTTTTTTTTTTTCTTTTTTTCTTCAAACGAAATAACTTCGAGAAACACGTTTGTGAAAAAAGTGAACAGGCAACAGACCCGGTTACCTATATCTATTACCTCTAATCCACAAGAATCCAGTATTTTTCTCTGAGAAAACCGATGGCCATAAAACGAGACAAGTCTGGCACGATATCAACAAGCGAAACGGAAGTAAACAGAGAAAAAAAAGTCGTGGCGGAAGCCCCCGTGAAACAGGCTCGTGACTAAAATCGCTTTAATACGAGGTCATCCATGAAGGTCAGGGGGTCTAAGTCCCTTGCATGATCGATCCACCGCAGATGGAAGTTTCCACTTTCGTGGTTGCCGCCATCGTTTCGACTTATCTTCATTGAAAAATCACTTGCCGCTATCGTGGCGCGCGAATTGTCCCGTTTCAACGCGAATTTCATCATGTTGCTCTTTATCTTCGTGAAATATTAATTCACGGGAATGGTGATGAAAAGAGATACGGTGGTGGCGATTCGTTTTTTCCTCTGTTATCTAGCCGACACGATGATCGACAATACATCACACAGAACAGTGTAACATAAAAACGATCACAATTTTATGTGGAAAGATTTCAATTACGAGTCTAGTTTAGAGTCGAGGGAAATATTTCTAAAAAAAAAAATTCTACGAGAGAAATTGAAAGTTTTGCATGTAAATAATAAATGTACATGTACAAATATCCATCGAACGATTTTGGTCGACCTTGGAGAGAAGTCGACCAAACATATGTCAACAAACTTGCCTCGTAGCAGACTCGCAATATCTCGTATATATTTCCACCTTAAAATTGAAGTTAAATCCTTTTGCCTGATGAACGTTAGATTTAACCTCTCTCAAATTTTCTCTTCGTTCAATGCGCAATTTCACGATAAATTCCCATTTAATTCTACATTATCCGACTAAAAGAGAAACTAATAGTTTCTCCGTGCAAGTTTCTTGCGGAATAATCAATAAATTCATCGAACTCTGACTTATACCGTCTATTCGACACATTATAAATAATTATTGCTTCGTACAATGATATAATATAGTAAACAGAAAAACGTTCGTTCGACGTTCATTGGCCAATGAACACATGACACGAGTTAACCACGAGTCTGATAACTCGTTCGATTTGTAAAAATGACAAAAACGGAGAATTTCGATGAGCAACGAACAGATAAATATGTACTAGCATTCGAGGTAGGAAGGAGGGGGAGGGGGAGAGAGAGAGAGAGAGAGAGAGAGAGAGAGAGAGAGAGAGAGGCGCGCGACAA